TGTAAATGGTTATTTTGAGGAGCTTGACGAATCAGTCTATAGAGATGGCATTAATAGACTGGAACACCGCTATGAGAAATGTATCAGCCTTGGAGGAGATTATGTTGAGAAATAAAAAAAAAAAATTTTTAAAAACCTTGTTTTTCTTGGTCAGGCCGGAAACTTATCAATCCACCCTCGTATATCAGTTAAATTATATCGAAAATTGTAATATAAACAGGTTTCGAAAAATTAAAAAATGATGTATTCAATTTCACAGTTATATCATAGATCTTTGGATAAAAATGTGTGTTAAAAGAAAAGGATCGAAATTTCAACATTTATTCAACTCATTTCAACTCTTTGTTGACGGGAAATTACTTTAAAGATCTTGTAATTATTTGGTCAGTTAGATGAAATTGGTCTGGTAGACAAATTGGCGTGGCCTAATCTACAAAAAAACCAATAAAGAGGAAATAAACAAATAGAACGAATAGTCTCTAGAAACTCGCAATTCGCAATAGAATTGTTATGTGAAAAGATGCACGGACAAAACTTGACGACCTCTAAGGAAAATAAAGATCCACACCATCTTTAAGAGCACTAAAAAAATTGGAGCGTTCTTCCCTAGGTACCAATACAACAAGCTGCAAGGAAAAGTTTACAGCATTTCTTGCACATGTAGCAAACTATACATTGGTCAAACAGGAAGACACATCAACACTTGATTTAAGGAGCATAAAAGCCACCTCTTTATCTAGAAATGGGGAGAAGTGAATAATTGCAGAAAATATTGCCCACACAAGATATGACATTCGGTGAGACAAAATTAAGGCACCCACTAACAGGTGACCGTGAGTTTAGCGAACGTTATGTATGGAAATTTGCTTGAATAAAACTACTATTATCCAGTAGATTGTCATTTACCGATTAATATTTACGTAACCTACACCTTTTTGTATTCTTACATTTACATGTAAGGTACTGTTCGTTTCAAGAAGTTGGAGATATGCCCTTTATTAGGATGCGCCGTAGCATAATTCCAAATTCAATCATATTTGTTTGCGGAGCTCATTTCTCCACCGATCATCGAGCGAGAACTAGACAAAAGTGTACAGTACCATTTGCAAAATTATTTAAACTGCCTCGTTAAAACTTAAGAACTTAGCCAAAAATTATAACATGTGAATTAACTTAAACTTCTACATACCTATAAAACTTTTGCTTTATTTTCTATTGTTAATTTATACACATTTTTGTTTTAAGAGATTGCTAAACATTTTCGTCTAGTACTGTACAGTTCTAGCCGATCTCCTAAGACCGTCCTTCGAGAGAACTGCTCTCGTTCAAGCTTATTCCAACTATTTCTGTCTTGCTCACGCCTAGTGTGTATTCTTTCTATCTCCGCGCACATTTCCTCAAGGTCACAATTCTAACAAATTGAAATGGACTGTACTTCTTTAATTTATTTAGTCTGAAAATTATATGTACTACTAATATGTATATGTTTATCTTAGACGTTCGTTATTCGACAATGTTTATATTCTCCATCCATGTAGCTGCAGTTTTTATCGCACAGAGCTGTTCGGTAGACACCTGTGTTGCCAATTCGCGTACAAGACCGGCTTCGGGTTGCAAATTATTGTAGCAAACGAATATACGGAAAGAATTCCCTGTGTTAAAGTGATTTTTGAAAAATTCGCGTGCGCAAGTTTAGAAAATGTGTAGTAATGAAGGCAAACGAAGACGGCAATCAGTTAATGACTATCCAGTTTTTTCACTTGTATTTTTTGTGGATTTCTGTAATAGATATAAAAACTACCACAGATTGCTGTAAGAACATCTAAATATTTGGATTACGCTAAACGATAGCCCATTAAAGCTCGTCTGTTTGGATAGTTTTAGAAAGACAATTATTTTTTTCAAATTATGATATCTTTGTGTGACATATTGTATTATATAGAATCAAATGAAGTAAAAAGTTGATACCTCTCGGTTTGTTTGAAAAAAGCTTCTTTTTTGAAGTATTCATTCCACTGCCGATTGCGTTTTTGATAGCTTTCTGAGCTTTTTTGACACCTAATTGAAAACCCTCGTGCTCCGGTCGTATTTTTAATCCCCGATGGTAGTACATGAGGCTGTGTTCGAAGTGGCCCAAGTAGTATAAAGCTTCGGCTTTCTGATAGAGGGCTTTTACGTACTTTTTGTCGATTTCTAAAGCCTTTTCGGCGTCTTGTAGAGCTTTGTCTGGCTGGCCCAATAAAATGTAACATTTGCTTCTAGCGACCAATGCGCTTTTCTCCTCCGGATTAAGTTCTAAAGCCTGAAATAAAAAATAAAATCTTACAAATGTGTTTACATTTACTTATATACCTACGTATATGTTTATGTAAAGATTAATTTCAGAAAGTTGAATTGCTATGATTAAAAGGCTTAAAAATTAACTAATAGAATGTATCTACATATGTAGTGTGTATTTCCGATAATGGTCGAAGCAGTACATACTGTCGAGATAAAATCAACAGTTTTAATTAACCGATTATTATATATGAATATTTTCAACAATAACTAGTTGGAGTTTTAAGAAAGTTCATTAAATGAGAAAAAATTATGGTTTTATTAGACTTACTCCTTTATTAATAAAATGAAAAAAAAAAATAAATATATACT